ACTGACAAACTAAAGAACAATCTTTCAAAAGTGAGGAATCATTCTGACTATTCCAAGTACACTTTTTAAACTGTGTACCTGCTTCTAGCTCTTCCCCCTGACGTTTTACTGCAGGGCTTTGATGTAGGTGGGGTAGAGGGACCGCCCTAATTGCAGTGACATGGTGCTTCTGGCAGCTGCCTTCCACTCATTTCGGTGCCTTCAAGGAGAGCTTATTCCTGGCAGTCAGGTGATCCCAGGTCTGCAGCACCCTGTGCACCGCCTGCAGGAGGCACATGTACGCTTCCCGAGTCCCGCTCCCAGCCCCATCCTCTCCTCTGACCGTCCCAGCAGGGCGCTAGGCAGGTCAGATGCGGGGATGGGGAAGGGGGTGATTTGAGCAATGCATTATGTTACACTTCGTGCTCCCCTGTTTGATTGAACAAGTGGTGGCCTGTGCTCACCTTGCACGTTAATTCCAGTTCCTTGGGAAGTTCCTGTAAGTACCATCGCTGTGTCACATGATAACGGAGACAGGGCCGACTGAGAGCATAACTGCAGCTGGTGCCACAGGTTAGAAGACGCCCCTGGTGGGGACAGACTGAGGATAGGAAAGGACAGGCTGCAGGTGCCGACATTTCAGAGGGTTAAGCCGATGGATGCCCTGGTCTGAGACAGCAGGTGACACTGGGTGGAAAAACCTAGCTGTGGAGTCAAAGCAGAGACAACGGAGACCAAGGCTTAGAGCACAGGCCGCGGTGTCATTTCACTGTATCGGGGATGTTAAACAGCCCCAGGTTCAGGCAGAAGAGCGCAGAGACGGACACTTCGGGCTCTGGCACAAATAGGTCCCCGTACATTTACACCCAGACAACTTTTAGTACGTCCAGCTCTCGGCCAGGGACTGCCCGCCAGGGTTTTGATTTCAGTCCTCGTAATTATGGCCCGAGGTGAGGACTGGACGCTACGCCAGCTTCTCAGAACGAGAGCAGGGCCTTCGTCGTGTGCTTCGTCCCACCCGTCCTGACACAGAATTAGAAAGCGCTTCTGAAAAGGGTGTTTCTCAGATGGAAACCCCGCCCCCGTCTGACTGGGCCTGGTGAGATGTGCCACTGCGTTTGCCTCCTGTGAAATGACTGACCATCGGAGACTGAAAAAAAAACATGAGATAACTCAGATTCTTTATCTACGTAACTATCTCTTGCCCTAATTAGCTGTTTAAAGAACGTCCTGTCCCCTGTAACTCTCCTCCCGCACATAGGTTGTCAGGACACGCTAAACCTTGTAAACCCCGCTGCCTTCCTACAGGCATCAGCCCTGCTTTCCCCATGCAGGTGAAGGGAGCCTGCTGACTGGGCGAGCCGAGCTCTGTGGAGTGTGGTGTCTTCGTGGCTCGGCAGTGCTGGGTCTGATATCCCTGGGGGCCGTTGTATGCATCAGGGAGCTATTGCCACAAAAGTGCTGTTACAGACCCCTCCCACACTCAGCACAGTAGAACAGCGAACATTAATACGCTCACAGGTGTAATCCTAGGGTTTTCCTAACAGGTTTGGCTAAGCTGGGTGGTCCTGCGCCTCCCCGGAGGCCTGGGATTGGTCTGGGCAGCTCTGTCCTCCTTGGCCCAGCAAGGTAGCCATGGACTGTCCTTCTCAGGTTGACGGCAGGGGCACGGGGGTGGGAATGGACCTGGGACACTGATGTCTGCCCACCCATCACGAGGCCAAACAAGTTGCGTGGCAAGTCCAAAGGCAGCAGGCAGGGACAGTCTGCCCCCGAGGAGGTCATGGCAAACAGATGCGGAGAGTGTGTGCGAAGGTCAGGACCGACAGCCAGGCCGTGTTTGGACAGTAATACTTGCAGTAAGGTTTCTGACATTGCAAACATTCTCCTTTATTACCTTTGTTTATGTCTTTATCATGATGACACTGGGGTTTGATTATTGTCATTTCCTTCCATCCCTGATCTTATCCGGTGAAGGAGTGGGCTAAGCCACCATCGCCCCGCCTTCCTGTCTCAGTTCCCGCGTCTCTTCCGAGGGCAGCTCAGGGTCTCCCTCTGCACCCCAGATGGTTCTGACAGGGAGGGAGGTTCGGGAATTGGAAACTGTCTGCCATTCTTACACTAAACAAACCAGGTGGAATGGACCTGGGACACTGATGTCTGCCCACCCATCACGAGGCCAAACAAGTTGCGTGGCAAGTCCAAAGGCAGCAGGCAGGGACAGTCTGCCCCGAGGAGGTCATGGCAAACAGATGCGGAGAGTGTGCGAAGGTCAGGACTGACAGCCAGTAATACTGGCTGGACAGTAATACTTGTTTGGACAGTAATACGTGTTTGGACAGTAATACTTGCAGTAACATTTCTGACATTGCAAAACATTCTCCTTTATTACCTTTGTTTATGTCTTTATCATGATGACACTGGGGTTTGATTATTGTCATTTCCTTCCATCCCTGATCTTATCGGGTGAAGGAGTGGACTAAGCCACCATCGCCCCGCCTTCCTGTCTCAGTTCCCGCGTCTCTTCCGAGGGCAGCTCAGGGTCTCCCTCTGCACCCCAGATGGTTCTGACAGGGAGGGAGGTTCGGGAATTGGAAACTGTCTGCCATTCTTACACTAAACGGACCAGGTTCTGTTCACTCTCAGGTCATCAGAATACCCGGAGTGCAATGAAGAAATGTGTACTTCTAGGCAAGATAATGTTTCGCCTGAGATTACATGACATGAAGTTTTTTGCTTTTCTTAATTCTTGCAAATATGGAAACCAGTGCTCATGGAATAACATCAGGAAATAATCATGAGATGATGTGTGCCCTGTCAACAAGGTGTTCGTGTTAACTGCGTTGGATTTGCAATGTTGTAATAAATGACACTTGGTGTCTGGGATAATGATAAAATAATGGTACCAGTTCTAGTGAGCATTTGCACCTTTTAAAGACAATTTCTTAAGTGAGTGGTTAGTCATTTCCTCACAAGGCATGGAAGAGTGGTCCCACTTCGCTTGGTGGGTCCCTCACAGGTCACTGGGGTGTGTCGTTGGCTCCTCCCTGAGTGTCAGCTCTGGGCGGCTTCCGTTCCTGTGACCTGCCCCTGGTCTCCGGGCTCTTCTGTCAACTCTCTGCACAGACACATTGTGTCTCTGTACAGATATGGTTGTGGTGTGACCCTTTGCCTTGCAGAGCTCACAATTTATATCCACACAAATTTTCACTATCCAGTGCAGATACCAACTTAAAGGCACACAGGTGAGGGACTTGGTGCATTTGCGGAAGGCTTCAGAGAAGAGGGATATTTAAGGTGGGTCTTGTAAGACCCTCAATATGAAAGAGCTTGTTATTCACCGGAAAATGGGGAGGGGAAGGACAGTTCAGGCAAAAGCATTTGAAAACGTCTGGGCATAAAGTCACGACAGTATAGGACGTGTTGAGGGACTGCAGTGGAAGGAGGGATTGGTTAGTAACCTCGTTTATTAGTTTATGCAAGACACGGGGGTTTGCCCCAAACAGTGGCATTGGGATGGAGAGAAGGGCCTTTTGAAGAGACCTGGTAAAAGACTTGGAGATCGAATGTCCTGGGAGGGGAGCGGGAGGGGACGAAAGGTGGCCTGGTGTCCGTGTCTTGGGTTACTGAGTATAATGATCATCTCTGAAATGGGGACCGCAGGGGAAAGTCAAGGCTGAGGAGGGGACGAAAGGTGGCCTGGTGTCGGTGTCTTGGGTTACTGAGTATAATGATCTCTGAAATGGGGACCGCAGGGGAAAGTCAAGGCTGTTTGGAGTGGTGGAAAGGGGAACCTCGCTCAAGAGAGATGAGCTGGGTTTTACACATGTTCACAGGAGATTACCAGGTAAAAGGCAGAGGGGTCTAGGTTCGGTAGGTAGTTTGGAATGGAGTTTGGGCGTTTGGCATGGGTGATGTTGGTGGAGTGTATTAGAAGAGAGACTGAACCACTGAAATAGTGGCAAGGTAGTTAGAGTTGGTGGGCAGCTGCTAGATAGAAGTTCAAGGCGGGGTAAGAACGCTTAATGCAGGACATAGATTTGTAGCTCAAAATCAGATAAGCAATAGACAAGAGAGACAACAGTGGGAGTGTGGGGAGCAAACCCAGAGGGTGGGACAATGCAGGAGATTCCAGTCCTGAGCAGCGAGGCAGGGACAAGGGCTCTGTGGGAACTCAAAGGGCAGGACAGAAAACACGGTCCACATTCAGGGACCAAGGTGGGAACCTTAAGGGGGAGGTTGTACCAATCCTGGAGCTTTCTCTGTAAGGCTTCAAGCAGGTAGTATTGACACTATTTCTAGAAAACAAGAAGACTTCTGCAGAAGAGGGTTGTGGTCCATTGATTAATTTGTAGCCATAGGCTGTTCTCATTTACCTATAGTGACATTGACATGTCATACAAGTCTATCTCTCGATGTCAAAACAACAGCTAGCTTGCTTTTGGGGTATGAAAAATGGAACTCACATTCTTCATCCGTGGGAACTCAAAGGGCAGGACAGAAAACACGGTCCGCATTCAGGGACCAAGGTGGGAACCTTAAGCGGGAGGTTGTACCAATCCTGGAGCTTTCTCTGTAAGGCTTCAAGCAGGTAGTATTGACAATATTTCTAGAAAACAAGAAGATTTCTGCAGAAGAGGGTCGTGGTCCATGGATAAATTTGTAGCCATGGGCTGTTCTCACTTACCTACAGTGACATTGACATGTCATACAAGTCTCTCTCTCAATGTTAGAACAACAGCTAGTTTGCTTTTGGGGTATGAAAAATGGAACTCACATTCTTCAAATTGTTTTCTTTTTTCTTTCCACCACCACCTCTCTCCCTTCTCCCTTCCTCTCTCCTTCCCTTCCTTTTTTTCTTCCCCAAGGTGTGAGGGTTTGATGAGCTCGGCCAGGACAGGATCACGCAAAACCTGTTACACAGTGGGTGATGCATCTAAGCTTTAGGGAGGCCATTTTCAAGTTCAGATATCCTCCCAGGGTTCCAAGAAATCTCTTCTTTAGCATGGCTAGTAAATAACTTCTTCTGGAAGTGAGTAAGACTAAAATGAAGCCCGATGGGTGTGATTTTGATTCTCTGTGGAACACCTTAGCACTCCATCCAGTCCTGGCTGTCTATAAATCATTTCAGGTGCTAAGGTTAGCAGTCAGCTGAGCTGGAAGCAAATAGATATATAGGATTGACCTTGTCCTTGTACAGTTGTTAACCTAGAAACTTTCTCCTAGCTGTCTGTCCAACTCCTAAGGTTGACAATGAAACTGATTTTCTGCTTCCTGTTATTTTGTGTGTTTTTGTGCTAACTTGGTAACTTCTAGAAACTCACCTGTTTCTTGCGAAAGTTAAAACTAAGATTTTTAGAATGAAAACTGTAAACCAAATAAACTCTTTGATGCAGCATTTTCTCAGGTACTGTGCAATAACATTATTGTTTTATTTTTTTTCTTAGTTGAATATAGGCGTCCATTTTCTGGTTTAGCATTATTTCTACAGATACTGTTCTTTGTAAATCGTTAACACTGCTTCAGCTGAAATGTGTGTGCACGCCTCGCTTCTTGTCCTGAACAGCCTTTCTCCAGGCAGAGTTGGTGAGCTGCGTGGTTGAAACTCATTGTTGTTACTTTAGGTGCTGCCTTGCGATGCTGAGTCTCCATTTGCCTTGATTAAGGTAGAAACAGCCTATGGCTTGGATGACTTACATTTCAAGTTGGTTTGAGCAAGATGATTGGTATGAAGGACTGCAAAGAGTAAGCGATATTTATGTTGTAGTTATAATTTTATGTTTTTTTTTCCTGTTTTATTTCTCATGCAATTGTATTGTATTACTGCGCCATTTTCATTGTGGACAATTTTGCATTGCAAAAGTTTGAGTCAAGTAAGATACTTATTTGATAGATTTAAAAGCAGAGGTAAGAATATGATATATGCGAATAGTCCTAATTACCTATACATTGAAGAAAAGGCATTTTTCTATCCTGGTTTAAGATGAATTCATAGTGTTTTCAGATTGTCTTTAGGCTTAAATATAAAGTGGGGCAAAAATAGGTTTACAGTTGTTCATATGGAAAATAAAACAATAGTAAATAATAATACAAGAATTCTGTGTTTCGCATACTCATAACTGTAAACAGACTTTTGACCGACCCTGTATAAACTAGAATTCTTTCTAATGAGATTAATATATAAAAATAGCAATAATTTCAGTGAAATAATTTTTCATAAAGAAATGCATTCAATGAATAGATGCGTTTAATAATACTATCTATATATCTCTCTATATAAAAGCCTACGCGACCATTCAACTGTTCCACTGGTAGCTATGACATGCACTGACCGCCAGGGGGCAGATGCTCAACGCACAGGCACGGAAACATGGAACAGACTGATGAATCTCAGAGGGAAGCGGGGAGTGGGGAGTGGGGAGGGCAGGAAGAGATTAACCAAAGATCTTATATGCATACTAGAGATCTGGTGCATGGATTCGTGCATCTGTGGAGTCCCTTGGCATATCCGGTGGAGATCGGGCCCAAACCGGCAATCCATCGCCTCCTGCCGCTCCTGCCTGCCATTCCTGCTCATCCCAGCCCGGCTGCTCCTGCCGCCGCCGCTGCTCGATAGGCTCGCTGCTGCTCTGCTGTGGTTCCGGGCTGCGGCCAGCCGTGAGCCCTGCGTCTGGTGCCCGTTGGTCAGCTGAGTGGCGCTCCAGCTATGGGAGCGCGCTGACCACCAGTGGTCAGCTCTTGCGTTGAGCGTCTGCCCCCTGGTGGTCAGTGCACATCATAGCGACTAGTTGACCAGTTGTTCAGTCGCTTAGGCTTCTATATATATAGACTAGAGGCCCAGGGTCCCTTGGCCTAGCCTGTGGGGATTGGACTGAAACCGGCCCAGTTCATGGATTTGTGCACTGGTGGGGTCTCTCGACCTGGCCAGCAGGGATCAGGCCAAAACTGGCAGTCTGACATCCCCCAAGAGGTCCTGGATTGCGAGAGGGTGCAGGCCAGGCTGAGGGGATTTGTGCACCGGGCTTCTAGTAATATTATAAAAGGAAATGTAAATAATTTTCTTAGGTAGTGGGCTATGTTACATTTGATAGATTATTAGGCAATTATGTTCCAAAAGGCTTTGCATTGTTACTATGGCAACTTTGGCATAGTATTTTTGAAAATAACTATTTGGATATATTATTGCAATAGTACAAAACTGCTCTTTAAAAATGCACCTTATCAAAATGGATTTGTTTAGAATAACATATGATTTCTCTTAGACTTTTTACCCTTTTAATGGATGAATTATAAATTATTCAAATGAAGGCAATTAGTGGATTTTTTTTCATTAATGAGTGGAACATCTTCCTGTAGTTTCCCAGCTTCCCCGTTGCCGCTGGAGGACAGGTGCTACTGAGATGTGCACCACTGAATGTTCCTTCCTCCTCACTTCTTCAGTTTCCCATTCTTATCATCTTCATCAGAGATATTTTCTCACTATTTCAGTTCATTTTATAATATATTTTTTATTGTTGATAGTATTACAGATACCTTCCATTTCCTTCCTTTTACCCCCTCATCACAGACCCTACCTCACACCCCCAGGTCTTCACTGCCCTATTGCCCGTGTTGATGGGCTATGCATATAAGGATATAAGTTCTTTGGTTTATTTCTCCTCGTTTGGCTTAATTATCTCTCTCATTGTAAATCCTCAGCAGTTTAAAGCCTCTTGCCTACTTTTTAGAATTTTTTTCTTCAGCTGTGAACCAAATTGGTAAACAGTCCTGGAGCCAGTTAATACCTGACTCTGGAGAAAATCCCTCATACTGTGAATCCTGAGCCTTCTGCAGGATTGAGCTTGAGAATTCTAGTCCTACCCGTAAATGATAAAATGTTTCAGCTTATGAGTTTAAAATAACAGCACTCCAATCCCCCCGGACACACGCGCACATGCGCACATGCACACACACACACACACACACGCACGCACACACACTCTGCAGTGTCAGCATTCTTTATTATGTATCATGTCCATGCGTTTTAAATGTAGTAAGTGCATTTCTGATGTTGGAACAAAAGGCTTAGTTTCCAGTGTCGTCCATATTTCCTCATTGGGAGGGGACACGGATGGTCATCTACTTTGGGGAAAAGGGTGTCTGAGGCCAAGAAACAAATGCTTTTTACTAAAATCATGTTTTCCCTTATAGTGCCTCTGGGGCAGCTCATGGAGAGTGTGAGGATTCAAGTCCCTCCTCCCACCCTCTGCTCCAGTCTGCCCTTTGCTGACACCACTGGCCTTTATAGATGAGTTCCTGGTTCTGAGACATTCCATAATAGTAGCTGTTGTAGGCATAGTGTGACCCTAAAATTACCATATTGTCTTCATGAGCGTGAGCTTCTTCTGGCTCAGGTTTTGATCAGCTCTTACACAGGCTTAGACAAGGAAGAAAGATTCTACCCTAAATAATGAAAATGGGCACATGAGTGTTGACTTTTATGTTCTCCAAAAATCCAGCCTGTTACTTTTCAGGTGATGTGTATGTGCATTTATACCCTATACTAGAGGCCCGATGCACGAAGATTCGTGCAAGAATGGGCCTTCCTTCTCCTGTCTGCTGGCACCGCCTTCGCTCGGGCCGGAGTGCCTTTCCTCCTTCGCTCCAGCCCAGAGCCGCCTTTCTGCCTTCACTCCAGCCTGGAGCTGCCCAGAGGCCTGGAGCAGCAGCTGGGGTAGTGCGGAACACCTGCGTCGTCACCATGGCAACGACATAAGCGTCCCGCCCCACACCCAGCTGCTCGGCACCTGCGTATGCAAAATAACCCGCCATCTTTATTGGGTTAATTTGCATACTCACTCCTGATTGGCTGTTGGCTGTCGTGAAGGTACGGTCAATTTGCATCTTTCTCTTTTATTAGTGGAGATAATCAGCATTCAGCATGGCAGACTTTGTCAGTAGGTTATGTTTTAAATATTCACAAGATGGATTTTTGAGTTAAAAATTGTAATGGAGATATGTAGTGTTTGAAAACTCACATACAGGTGTGTGTTTGATCTTTAGAGCACCAAATTGGCCTTTTACACATTGATGGAATTCTTGTTTATGGCATATGTACATACTTCTACCTTCTCACAGACACATATATAAACTTGATTTTAACTTAGTTGTAAAATTTAATTTTTGTCAGGGTTACAACTATATAGCTGTATTTTAAATTTTATTGTGATCATTTCATTTCATAATACTCTTGCATTTTCAAAAGTGAGCTCTCATCCTATATAATAAAAGCTCAGCAACCAAAATGGCAGTACGACCAGAGACCAGAATGACCACGGCCCCTCACCCCAGCTGGCAGCCCCCCAGTGAGTGGTTAGGGGTGATCAGGCAAGCAGGCGAGCAGTTAGGGGTAATCAGGGAGTCAGGCAGAGTGGTTAGGGGCGATCAGACAGGGAGAGGTGGTTAGGGGTGATCAGGCAGGCGAGTGGTTAGAGGCGATCAGGGAGGCAGAGGCAGTTAGGGGCAATCTGACAGGCAGGTGAGTGGTTGGGGCAATCACGAAGGCAGAGGGGTTAGGGGCGATCAGGCAGGCAGGTGAGCAGTTAGGGGCCAGTGGTCCCAGATTGTGAGAGGGGTGTCCGACTGCCGGTTTAGGCCCAATCTGCAGGTGGGATCGGGCCTAAACCAGCAGTCGGACATCCCCCAAGGGGTCCCGGATTTCGAGAGGGTGCAGGCTGGGCTGAATTTCATGCACCAGGCCTCTAGTAGTATATAAATGTAATGACAATATACTCATCACTTTCGTTGTATTTTGTACACTTACTGTGCAAAGCATCTTCACTGCAGTTACAGTGTATGTGTGTGAGAGAGTGTGTGTGAGAGTATGTGGCTGTGTGAAAGTGTGTGTGTGAGTGTTGTGTGTGTCAGTATGTGAGTGTGTGTGTGAATATGTGTCTGAGTGTGTGTGAGTGTTGTGTGTGTGTGAGTGTATGTGAGTGTGTGTGAAGGTGTGTGTGAGTGGATGTGTAAGTGTGTGTGTGAAGGTGTGTGTATGTGTGTGAGTGTGTGAGTATATGTGTGTGAATGTGTGTGAGTGTGTGTGAATGTATGTGAGTGTATGTGAAGGTGTGTATGAATGGATGTGTGAGTGTGTGTGTGAGTGGATGTGTGAGTGTGTATGTGTGAGTGTATGTGAGTGTGTGTGAAGGTGTGTATGAATGGATGTGTGTGTGAGTGAGTGTGTGTGAATGTATGTGAGTGTGTGTGTGTGTGAATGTATGTGAGTGAGTGTGTGTGTGTGTGTGTGTTTGAAACTAAAATTGTCCGCAGGCTGGAAAAATAAACACCTTCCCTCTGCAGGGCTGTGGTTGCCAGGCTACTGACACTGGCACGTGCACGCGGTGCAGGGAGCTCCGGCATTCTTCCTCCCAGAGCCTGTCTCCATCTGCGATAGCCGTGAGCTGCACTGCCTGGTGCCTCATCTTTAAAGCGCACGCGTTGTTTCTGGGCCAGAAAGATGATATGTTCTGAAGCAACAAACCTTTAGAATAGACGTGGGATTCCTTAAATTGTTCAAATAAAAAATGAAACATGTTATAGAATAAAGATAAACAAGGATACAATATTTATTTGAAGCACATAGTTACCCGCCACCTAATTCTAAGTCCACTTACTTGCCTAGATATGTGACATTCTACAGGATTCGCATTTAAAATGCAGATGCATGTTTTGAAATGGACCACAGCTGAGCAGGTCTGCTTCCAGAAATGCGGATCCATTCTCTGTGGACCAACCCATGCTGACCACAGAGATGACAGAAGCTTTATCTCCTCAGAAACTCTAGGCATCACTTCATAAAGGCTATATAGTATTATGTGCCAAATATACTAGTATCTTATAATAATACTGTTGAAAAATAATCTGGAAGTTTCAAATATTACCAGATTAAATACATAGCTCAGATTTATAAATATCATAGTATTCATATTTAATAATAAATGATTTTTAAATATTTCATTCAAAATGTTCGATTTTTAAAATAAAATGCCATTTTGTTTTGTCCTATGTAGTATTTTCATGGCTGGTGTGGACGAGTTATTCAACTCTGAGTTTAGGAAGGACATAAGTTGGTGGACCCCGAGATTTAAAGGGCATACAAATTATATGACAAAATCGAAATGTTTATATTATCTAAACATGAAAGTTAAAAAGTAGCAAATCAGGATACACTAATAGTTAAAGTAAAAATATATTGGCATTGCCCTAACCGGTTTGGCTCAGTGGATAGAGCGTCGGCCTGCAGACTCAAGGGTCCCAGGTTCGATTCCGGTTGAGGGCATGTCCCTGGGTTGCAGGCACATACCCAGTGGATGGTGTGCAGGAGGCAGCTGATCGATGTTTCTCTCTCATCGATGTTTCTAACTCTCTATCCCTCTCTCTTCCTCTCTGTAAAAAATCAATAAAATATATTTTAAAAAATATATATTGGCATGGATTTCAGAGTAATTTTCTTGTTTTTAACACAAAAATGGAGCTGAGGGACTTCTAGTTTCTAGTCAGGCAAGTAAGGAGCTTAGAAGTCCTCAGTTGGATCTGAAACAATAAAACCTGAAGGAACAGAAAATGGACAACGCTTCTCAGATCCATGAGAGAAGTGAGGTCACAGGACACACTGCTGCCCCCACACCCGGAGCCACAGACAGACAGACAGACACAGAGGATCCCAGTGCGGCCACATACACAGTTTAGAGTCAGCGGCCTCGGCTTCCGTCGGCCCCTCTTCGCAATGAACAACATTGCCGTGCAGCCTGTAGATCTCCCTGTGTAACTCACGTCGTTTTTGTAAGAATATAGAACCTGTGTAAAAATGTTGAAGTTCTATGACAAATGCCCTATTCCTCCGGATATTGGCTCATTGTTTTACATTTGAATTTGATGCCTTGAATGAATTGCCCCTTTTTACATTTGGCAATTTGTACATTTTACATAAAAATGTATTTTTATTTCACATAAAAATCTGTATATTTCTGCCCAGCCGGCGTGGCTCAGTGGTTGAACGCTGATCTATGAACCAGGAGGTCACAGTTCAATTCCAGGTCATATTTTACATAAAAATCTGTATATTTCTGCCCAGCCAGCATGGCTCAGTGGTTGAATGCTGATCTATAAACCAGGAGGTCACTGATCAATTCCAGGTCAGGACACATGTCCGGTTTGTGGGCTCCATCCCCAGTAGGGGGCATGCAGGAGGCAGCCGATGCATTATTCTCTCTCATCATTGATGTTTCTCTCTCTCTCCCTCTCCCTTCCTCTCTGAAATCAATAAAAATGTATACAAAATATCTATATATTTCTGTCTGGGAAGCCCCATGCGTCTGGCACCAGGCAGGGCCTCCCCCAGGGGTCTCGGAGCCCTGCAGGCAGGCTGTGCACCCTCTGCTCCATGCAAGACCCCGTCACTCCCCTGTGCTTCCCAGCCCTTGGCCCAGTGTCCCCTGTCACTCAGCACTTTACAGTCTCCTGCTTCCCTAATTTACATGGCCTGCCTTGATGTCCATAGACATCTGCAGATTTAAACTCCTGTTCTCTGAAACAGTACATTGAGATTGATGGCAATCATAGAACATTTGTTCAGGGCACAGAGACAAGGATTGAGGAAGACAGTTATAGACAATGAAGAGGAAGGTTGTTTCGGGATGACAGTAACCGACCTTCCTCCCTGTTTGTTTCCAAGGCCAGCATGTCCCGGGTGAGGCAGGTGGGGCTGCTGGCCGCCGGGTGTCAGCCCTGGAACAAGGACGTGTGCGCTGCCAGCGGGGACAGGTTTGCCTACTGCGCCACCCTGGCCATCTACGTCTACCAGGTAAATAATCCCGCCTCTCCCCGACTTTTCCTTTCATCAGGTGCGATGACCATTTAAGCAATGACTGTCTTCCCCATCGTTCAACTCTCATGTTATCGTGCACTCTGGCATTCAGCAGATACTCACTAAATGTTTTCTAAATGATTTTTTTTTTAATCTTGAAACACCAACACATTTCAGTTAAACGTGAAAAAAAAAATGTTGCTTTATTCTGAAGTAAAATTCCTTTTAATTACTAATAGTGTTGTCGTCTATTGAAAATGTTGGAAATAATAGTGTTAATCTAGACAGGAATGAGTTTCCCACAGTAGCGAGTAAGGTTTTGTAGAGTTCATTTCTCGAGTGTGTGGCAGTATCAGCATGCCACTGGAGGCCCAGGCCGATCGGCTCAGCTGGTTGGAGCTTCGTCTGAAACACCAGGGTTCAGGGTTCAGTCCCCAGTCAGGGCACATACATGAATCAACCAGTGGATGCATGAATAAGGGGAACGAGTCAGTAAAAAATGCAGTTCCCATAGAACTCACAGTTCTCCACTTCCATCCCCCATATGGAAGACGGCAGCAAGCTCAATGTGTACAGATATCAGATCAGCATATTGTATACCTGAAGCGAATATAATGTTAAATGTGCATTATATATCAATTTTAAAGGTTAAAGAAAGTCACGGGACAGTTTCTGGGAAGCAGCGTGAAGTTATTTTGATACCTTGGTCAGAAAACAGGTCTCTGAAGAGGTGTTTTGAACTGGGACTTGGACAGGGGAAGGAACACCTGTGGACAAATGGGGGGAGGGCGTCATTGGCCCAGGGGACTGCAGGCACAGGCCCTCCAGCAGGAATGGTTTGGCTGTAGTGGAGAAACAAGGTCAGAGTGGACTAGGAAGAAAATGAAGCCAGATGATACTGGCCAATAGCAGAGGCTCCCGAGGTAGGGTGTTCAGGGTCATGTTAGCAGTCAGGATTTACTGTGACTGCATGGTTAAACAGAGATTGGGATAATAAGTCACTAACATAACAATGACTAGTAAAACCCTGAATAACAATGTGAAAAGTTCATTGCATGTTAAAGGACGAAACAATAAAATGACATAATATAATCCCAAATATGTTAACAATGATAAAAAGATCAATTGGCTCACTAATGAATGGCACATTTACGAAAGGAAATGGGAAAATGAGGCAATTCCTTTTGCCCACTTACATATAAGAACACAGTATAATGCCCCTCCAGAAAGCAAGGATATACAATAGGGTCATTGCTTGGCAGACTATGGACATCTTACTAATGTAATAATAATGAGAGTTGGTTTATTTAACCTAAATGTTTTTATTCAAATATAAGTGAAACATTGCAGTAAAAATATTTTGAGATGAAGAGTGTTTTCCTCATAGATTTAGCTATAAAAATATGATAAAAATGCAATTATGTGTATTTAAATGTACATCATTTATTTTTACTCGTTTTTAAAATCGATACGTTTCATTTCAATTCTCTCATATTTTTTCAAAATAGTTTCTGTCAGCTGATCAAATATACCCGAAAGTAGACCAAGGCTTGAAATGTGTTCATATTTTGTTATTAGAGGTATGCTAATGTTCATCGAGGTAGCTTGTGGAAATGTGATTAATGGAAAGTGTACGATCTAAAAAGAAGCACTGAAATGTTTTATTTATGTATTTTTTTTAGTTGGATCACCGTTATAATGAATTTAAACTCCACGCAATTATGTCTGAACACAAAAAAACTATCACAGCTATCTCTTGGTGTCCACATAACCCCGATCTCTTTGCAAGTGGCAGTTCCGATAACTTAGTGATCATTTGGAATGTGGCAGAACAAAAAGTCATTGCTAAACTCAACAATACAAAAGGTATCTTTGGAACGGGGATGTATTTTATGGAATGAAACATTTGTATTTTGATGAACAGAATATTTTATTTCAGTTAGCTCAGGTTTTCAAGTAGCCCAGCTCTCTCCTGGTAACCTGCACAAGAAATACAGTGCACGTCCTGGCTCATGATTGTGTGTGTGCGTGTGTGCCAAATGGAAACAGAATTCCATGAAAAATTATACTCAGTACACCGAACAATCAGAAACAGTAAATACCAAGTCATTTTGTTAGTATTTAAATAAAACACAAACATTTTCAAAACTCAGGGTGTGGCAAAAGTAGTTTACAGTTGTTCGTACCTAAAATAATACAATAATCTACACTAATAAAAGAGAAACATGGTAATTAGCGTACGACCACTACCCTTTTCATTGGCTAATCAGTGAGTATATGCAAATTAACTGTCAGCCAAGATGGCGGCCGGCAGCCAGGCACTGAAGCGAGCACGAGGCTTGCTTGCTGCAGACTCCAACGTTCCCC